GTTCCCAAGCTGTGGTGGCAGCAGATGGCAAGGCCTTCTGTTAAAGAAAAGACAGGGAAGATAAGACGTTGATGGGCAGAACCTTTAAAAATGGGAGAGGAGGGCACAGACAATACCACCTTGTATTTAGCTAGCCAGAAGACAGACAGTGGTTGGTGAAGTGACAACCCACTGTCATTTTGAGCCTGAGTTTGGGAGGGGTCAGACCTCTTCTCTGTACTGCGGCTACCTTCCCTTCTTGCCCCTTCCCTTCCCCTTCAGCCTTGTGCAGTCTTTGTATTGATTGATGAGGGCTGTGGGCCAGAAACTGATCGAGGCTTGTTAATTGCATTTGTCAAATGCAGGGAAATTGGGAATTAGTGAGATTGGAGAAGGGAGTTTGGAAAACAAATGACTCTTGTGCCTAAAGAGGTTTTTTTTTTTGCTGAAAAGTGTCTCAGGAGCTCTTGGAGTCAGGGAACTGCTAGTGTGGACCCAGACCCACTCCGTAGTTGAAGAGGGCAAGGGCCATGCTACCTCTCCCTTCTGTGTAGACCACTGGCAAATGGTTAGCTGTGTGAGAAGCACAGGTACAGTCATCTTCCTCTCATTTAAGACACTGGTTTGCAGACCTTTTGAACAATTAAAACTTCTTTTTATTTATTTATTTTTTTTGAGTTGGAGTCTCACTCTGTCTCCCAGACTGGAGTGCAGTAGCCGCTCCCAGCCACCACAACCTCGACCTGCTGGGCTCCGGTGATCCTTCCACCTCAGCCTTCCGAGTAGCCGGAATTACAGGCATGCGCTACCACACCCGGCTGATTTTTTGGTTTATTGTAGAGATGAGGTCTCGCTGCCCAGGTGGGTCTCGAACCCGCGGGCTCAGGCAATCCACTCACCTCAGCCTCCCAAAGGCGCGGGATTACAGGCTGAGCCACCAAGCCCGGCAACTTCTTTTTAAAAAATGAACTCAGGCCAGACTCGGTGGCTCAAGCCTGTAATCCTGCACTTTGGGAGGCTGAGGTGAGTGAATTGCCTGAGCCCGCGAGTTTGAGACCCGCGTGGGCAACTTGGCGAGACCTCATCTCTACAATTAAAAAAAAAAATTAACCACGTGTGGTAGCGTGCGCCTGTAGTTCCAGCTACTTGGAAGGCTGAGGTGGAAGGATCGCTGGAGCCCAGCAGGTCAAGGCTGCGGTGGCCAGGAGCGGCCACTGCACTCCAGTCTGGGTGACAGAGTGATATATCAACTCAAAAAAAAAAAAAAATGAACTCAGGCCGAGGCTAGAGGATTGCCTGAGCCTGTGGATTCGAGACCAGCCTGGGCAACACAGTAAGACCTCGCCTTTACAATAAATTAAAAAATTAGCCGGGCATGGTAGCACGCACCTGTAGTTCCAGCTACTTGGAAGGCTGAGACTGAAGGATCACTGGAGCCTAGCAGGTCGACGCTGCGGTAGCCATGAGTGTGCCACTGCACTCCAGCCTGGGCAATGGAGTGAGACTTCAACTAAAAAAAAAAAAATGATCTTTTAGCCGGGTGTGGTGGCTCACACCTGTAATCCTAACAGGAAAATTGCCTGAGCCTAGGAGTTCGAGACGAGCCTAGGCGACATAGTGAGACCTTGTCTCTACAAAAAATAAAAAATAAAGAACACTTAGGAGAAATCCCAGCACCTAACAAAAATCAAATCAGGTTGAAGGTAGAATCGAGAGGTGCAGAGCCTCACCCATTGAACTTCCCCATCCAGTCACCCCCACAGCACCCTTTTGTTCCCCCCATACACGTATACTCCCTGGCACTTCTTGGAACCCTAAAAAACTTGAAAACCCCTGCCCTGAGAAAGAGAATTGAAGATTAGAATTGCCTTACATGACCTCACAGAGCATAAGACTCCCCAGCTTTATTCCATGAACAGTGCAGCCCTTTGTCCTATCTCTGTCACACATCTTGCTTTGGCAATGGTATAACTGTTTAATGGAAACACCTATTCTGTACTGGTGGAGTCCGTTCAGGAGACAAGATGCATAACCTGCAGTCCCATGTTCTGTTCTGGCATATTGCTGTTTCTCTACCTTCCTGGGTCTTGGATAAAAGACTCATTTAATGGAAGAGCTCAATTTGTGGTAGGTTTTCTTGGGGAAAAAAATAGAGCAGAGGTAGGGAGAAACTGCAAGTCTCTAGGTCAGTGGTATCCACCCTGTGCATTTGTGATTTCTTGCTGCCGGGTACTGGTGGGGAGTTGGCTTTGCAGCGACGCACATCTCTGCTTGTGTGGGGGTGATGGATGCTCCACAGCATTGGAGAGATGCTGTTGAGTGGAGTGTACCAGTTCAGGGACTCCCATCAGATTCATTTCCCAGTACCGTCCTCTTGACAAAGGATGATGGAAAAGAAATTGCCTTAAATAGTTGGAAGATTAATTTCTCTCGGCAGTTCCCTGGCGTCCAAGGGACTGGGCTCTTTAAGTGATGCCTGACGATTTCTCCTTCCTCCACAGATAGCTCAGTAACACCAAAATCTGGCTCCTCCGAGTAGGTGATGGGACTAATCTGATTAAACAGGGAGCAAATACTCCTAGAGGGCCCGTGCTTTCTCTTGCTAGCCTTACAGCATCTGCACACCAGGCAAGGGAGGGCTGTGGGGAGTAGCAGTGCGCTGCGGGGTGACTAGAATACTCATGAAGGAAGGTGAAAAGGTAGGTGAGGACGACGGGGAGGAGGGAGGAAGGACACAGTTAAAGCAAGTCAGAGACTGAAGCATAATAGTTACTGAGTGTTCCCTCTTTAGGCAAAACCAGAAGGTCAGTGTCTCTTGATATCCTCCTCAGCTGGCAAATGAGAAAACTGTCAAAGCCATTTGGGGAGTGGAAGGTCACATCCTCTGAGGGGAAATAAAACAACTGATTTATTCTGGCCCACGGATTCTATGTGGTCTGTTAGGGAAGAAAGCAAAAGGTGGGATGAAAAGGAAGTAAGGCAGGAAAAAATAATACAGCTGGAGGGAAATTCTGAAGGTGGCATGTCCCTTGTGTCAGGAGTAACGAGGAGAGGATGATCGGGGTCAGGGGAGACATGGCCATGTCTAATTGGTAAGTACTTGAGAGTTTTTAAAACTTTTCTCTTATTTTTTGTTTGTTTCGAAGACCACCACCACCAGTCCCACACACACCAGGACTATAACAGAAGATTAGGTATGTGCTTGAAACTGACCAACAGCAGTGAACTCAAGACATGATTTAAATGTTACAATTTAAAATACACGCATATTGCCACCAAGCATCTCTGCTGTTTTGTATCTGTGTCTTCTTGATTTTTATAAATTCTAGTTTCCCTTCAGGAAGCCAGAATCTTCTTGGGAAAGCTTTAATTATAGGGGGCAAGAGGAGAGAGCCAACACAGCAATCAGAACTGCCCTGATCAGCAGCAGCTGCTGCCTCCTGCCTGACCCAGGCCACCCCGCCTCTTTCCCCCAGTCAGCCTCCAGCCTCTATTCTCCCCAGGCCTGGCCTCAGAGCCAAGTCCTGGCTTCCAGGGGCTAAGCCCCACTGAACCATTTCGATAAAAATCATTTCTAAAATGTCCTCTTCGCAGTTGTTAGTGGGTCAAGCAGAAGAAATTCTACACACATCAGTTTGTTGGGTTTATTTAACCCAACTCATTTCTCCTGGAAGCTTTTGCTGGAAGTTAGGTGCCAGACCTAGGCCTAACCTGGTACTTAACCCTTTGTAGTCCAGACTAAGCTGTCATCAGCCATAAATATCTGACCTAACTATCAGAAAGGAAATAAGATACCATGGGTTCAACCTCTAATGATGTCTCCCCTTACTCTCCCTGCCGCCTCTCCCATATACTCAGGCTATTCCTCCCTTTGCCTCACTTCATGTTTCCTCTCTCACTTTATAAAAAAATCCCTTTTCTTTCCTCTGCAGAATTTAAATAAAGACCAATCAATCAATAAACCAAGTGCTGCTCATGGGCTTTAATGTAATAAGAAAAGGTTACCACTAGCTGCAGGGTACCCAAAAAGCTGGAATTACAGAGGAAAACACAGGTGGAATGAGAGAAAAAGTGAGCTAGAGAGAACAAGAGACAAACGAGAGACAGGAACCAAAAAGTGACTCCCAGACAGCAAGTATGAGATTGAGGCGAGTGCAGAGGGGGATGTGGACGTGGCAGAGAAAGATGGATGGAGACACTGACGGGCAGAGCTGGACTGTGAATGGAGGGAGACGGGGAGTGGGAAAGGAGACTGAAAAGGACAGTGATAGAGTGGGCAGAGAAATGGGGAGGAAGGAAGCGGCTCGAAGCTAATGCACAGTGAAACATGTCCCCCTGGAGACAGATAATTTCTCCAGCCATACATAATGAACACGTGC